GAGAGAGAATGATCAGAAACAAGGGTATGGATGTCATCCCAGAGATCAAGTACCCCACATGTGTAACAAGAATAGTCTTACCTGTGGACAATCTGATACATCCAGTAGGGTTATTGGTGAGGTCCAGAACAAGAGTGAACCAAGCAGGAGTCGAGGTGTGTGTTCTGCATACAGAGACAAGACTGCAGAGTCAGACAGGTTTGGAACCATCTATGCTGATGTGTGCATTTCTCCTGTCAACAGTCATTCTGTAGGTCCAACACAAGTGATGAGTTTTCCTCAGGTGAACTGTTCAGACAGAGTTAGGGACCACCTGCCTGTCACATGTCCTGACCTGGTTACACCTGCAGGTGCTGATATGCACCTGGGACCAAGAAATGTGTTAAAAACACAAAAGTCAGCACCTGAATCGAAGCATACAGAAGTCAATTTCGCAACATTTGAATCACTGAGAGCTCCAAAACAGAGACCTATCAAGACACAGCGTAAAATCTCTGCTACTGTGGAGCTTGAAAAGAGAAGAGGGGGTGTGATGTTACATGAGACAGCTAAGCACAACACCTGCTCTCCTGTGCTGGAGAGAAGCTCACAAATTGATGATAAAAAGTGCATCAGTCAACATAAGTCTCTACAGCAACAGATCCAGGAACACTACTGTCTGTCACAAGATAGTGGACAACAAAAGCCATGCAACATCTGATTATACAGGTAATTAATTAAGTAGCCTTAGGCCACACCAATTTATTTTCTTGGTTAACGGATTTTTATAGAAAAATAGTGGAGCGGGCGGGCGAACAAAAAGAATAAAAATAAAAACAGGCCTAGGCATGCTATTATGGCCCAAAATGGTATGATACAATGAATTTTGAACTTTTAATGATACCACTGCATTGAAAGATGGAATAACTGTAACAACGTTACAATCTGTTCAGGGCAAAATATGAGCATTTTGCAGTTGATTCTGAATTTTTTTTTTTTTTGCAAATCAGAAAAAAATGAAGCGGGCGAATCTGTTAACCAACAAATTAGATTGGTGTGGCCTAAGCATATTTTGTTTATTTCGATACCCTTTAGTCAATGACTAATCTTCCAGGGTTCAAAACTAGCATATTCCTGCTGCATTCCTCTTTAAAGAAAATAGTCAAGACCGACTTCCTTGTCCTTGGTACTGAATGTCCAGTGGAAATCATTTACCCTGTTCTTTATGACTATTTTCCCTGTGCAGTCCAACAGCAGGCATGGAATGGGAGGTTGAAGGGGAGAGACGTGCGGTAGTCTGCACCTGTACAGACTGGGCAGGTGGAGACGTGACAGTTGTGCAGGTGGAGACGTGACAGTTGGGACAGGTGAGAAGAAGAAGAGGAACATTCACTGCTGCAGGTGACAGAGGTTTTCGTAAGGCTCCTGCAGTTTCTGTGCAGTGTACTTAGTAAGAGGGCCTAGTCAAGTGCTCTGTCTTCGCATATGCTGTCCTTTTTTTCAGGCCACACCAATTTAATTTGTTGGTTCTTGGATTTTTTTTAAGGAAAAATATGAAGCGACGGTAAAAAAAATTTTAAACAGGTCTAGGCATCTTATTATAGCCTCAAATGCTACGATAGAAGTCAACACAAAAGGCTGGGTTAATATTTTAACATTCAATAGATTTTGAACTGCATTGATAGATGGAAAAACTGTTACAAGTAAGAAGAAAAGGACTTTCCTCAACTGCTGGGGCCAAAATATGAGCATATTTGAGTTGATTCAGGACCAGAATCTTTTTTTTTTCAAATCAGAAAAAAATGAAGAGGCGCATCCGAAAACCAACAGATTAAATTGGTATAGCCTTATTTCATTTCAGCCTTTTCTGCTTGACATTGGGAGTGCCTGTGTATAGCATACACTGCTGCAAGTCAGGAGGAAAGTGTCTGAACAGAAAAATATGTAGTTCTGTTGTGTTTTACTAGTATGTGTAACAAAAGGTAGTGTCAATGTTTTTCAGTCACAAAATTCTTGACATTACTAGTATATAGCATTGGGAACCTGGTGCAGTTTAGTTCCAAGCTCTCAAAAGTCAGTAGGCAGAATTTGAGACATTGAGACCACAGAAAACTGCCAGGAGTTTCTTGGTAATCCTAAAAACTTCATCATCTGAGTTATGAAAGATTTGAGACATGCATTTCTTGAACTAGAAGTTGAGATTCTCATTCATTATCATTTTTATTTGACCCTAGATGACTTCTAAATGATTTATATTGCCTTTTTTGGTATCATAAAAGCTTGAAGGCTTTTGACGAGTGAACAGTTGGCCCCGAAACTTACAGAATATCCTGGGTTGAGTGCACCACAACAGGAGTGGCAAGATAGGAATTCCAATATTGTTGTATGTCAGGAACACAAGATCAAGGTGTACACTGTCTTGTGTCAAGTTTGGTTGCACATCCAAAACACTGTCAGTAATTTCAACAAATAATTGTTTTCTACCATGGTACAACATAGTTTTTTTTCTCTGCAGAGAATTATGACATTATGCCATCTAATGTATGACGTACATGCCCGTATCCAGGATTATGAATGGGGGGTTCTTCCCACTGCTTGAGGGGACCTCGAGCGCCGTAGGCGCGAGGTTCCTAGGGGGTCCGGGGGCATGGTCCCCTGGAAAAAATTTTATTCAATGACAAAGGGAGCAGTTTTTCTACGATTCCAGGCCATCTTTTCAAGAAAAATCTTGGACCTTTACATAAAATGTGGACCAAAAAGTGGACCTTTACATAAAAAGTGGACCAAAAAGTGGACCTTTGGGCCTTGTGGGGGGGTTCTTCCGACCCCCCCCCGTGTACACTATATGACATCCAGTAGATTTCTAGCGGGGACCAATCATGGGGCTGCTGACGCGTCACCGACTAGTGGCTATTAGCACCTTGTTTCATGTAAATGCCATTAACTCAACCAGAGCGCGTATATTGTTTCTTGTTTACATCAGTACTAAGTACTAGTACTTCCACAATCAGTTAGTAAAGTCATACCTTAGTAAAATCTACTTTGATGAACGAATCAAAACGGGACTGTAGACATTAAGTTTTACACATTCAAATGTGGCTGCACTAGCGCTAATGGAGCGACCACTACGTACGGGAAGGAACGGATCTTAGCGAAGCCGAGATTGTGAACCAACCAACCATCGAAGACGGG